AAAACAATATTTTTTTGTATAATTTGGTCGGTGATGTTATTGTTGTTGTTGTTGTTATTGTTGTTGTTGTTATTATTATTATTATTATTATTATTATTATTATTATTATTATTATTATTATTAGTATTATTATTGTTGTTGTTGTTGTTGTTGTTGTTGTTATTGTTGTTGTTGTTTATTATTTATTATGTAAATAAAGTTCAAGTCTGACCGAAATAATCAATATTTAATGTGTACGCATTAACGTGCATTTAGTCAAACAATATAGTGTTGTCCGACTGTCATTAATGTGCATAATTTTGTATAATAATGTGAATTCTATATAGTGCGGGTTTTCTTATGTGCAAAGTCAAATTAAAATCGAATTGAAATAATTAGGTTTTTCGGTTGGTTAATCGAAGTAACTTAAATAATTGAAATGATTTATTATTTATATTATAAAAATATATATTTGACATATTTAATATATTTTATGTATTATTAAAAACATATAATATTAAAAATATTGAACAAAAATATTAATATAGAGAAATAATATCTTTATTTAATATTTATTTAAAATATTTTAATGTTTGTATTTAATATTAAAAAAATATATAATATTTTTTATTCTTATTTTTTTTAATATGTCATGTATAAAATATCAAAACCAATAATATGCATTCACACAAACAATAATGTGCATCTTGTCTATCATTAACCAGTACAGTATCGTACGATGTACGGGAGCATTTATTACCTATTCGTTTTTTGAAAGAAATTTTTGTATTTAAATTTTCTCATGGAATTAAAAATATCATGAAAATAAATTTATATGTTATTAAATACTTCCTTATGTACAATATTATTGGATTGATTCTTTAGCACGTAAAGTACTACATAGGTGTTCGAATTTTATATATAATTGATCATTATTAGTTATTAGTTAACAAATTTTAAAAAAAAAATTAAAGGAATATATTTTTTAAACAAAATTATAGTAGAAAAATAGTAGAATTTTTTTGAGATTTTCATCCATTGTTTATTTTAAATATAATTATAAATTTCAATTAAAAAATCGAAAAGAATTATTAGTTATTCATGAAAGTGAAACTGATTTTCCTACCAATAAATTGAATTTTTTATCAAACAAATTGATTTGAATATTTTTTTAAACCAAATAAAAGTATTATTTTTTCCAAAAAATGCAACCGAAATTTCCTAACATTGCACCGATATTTCTACCAAACAAATTGAATTGAAAATAATTCTAATAAAAATTTGAAATAATTTGATAATGTTTATGCAATTGTCTCTTTCATAAAGAAAATGATATGAATTTAACAAAAAAAAATGATATGAACTTACCAAAATCCCGGTAAAACATGGTTAAGAAAAAACAAAAGAATTAAAAAAAAAACGATGCCTTTAAGTTTTGAAAAGTTGCATACAACTTTTCCTAAAGAATTGGATAAGCTTTAAATATCAAAGATGAACCACTTTTGTTAGCAAAAAATGTAGACACAATTTTGAATGTACATCCCGTCTAAATATCAGTTTTATTTTAAAATAAAAATTACACGTGTTTTTATCCAATTTACACACTTTTTTTGAAAGAAAATATTATTCAATAAGATTTGGAAGAATTGGTT